TAACTCAGTTGGATCCTACCTGTCGAGAAAACTACCGCTTCAGGAGCTGATCTGCTCCAAATCCAGTACTTTTCTCTCCCTAAGTAACTTTACAAATGGCAAAACCAAACACGTTCACTCATAAAGTCAGTTCTGACAAAGATCTCCTTCCACACCTTAAAATGTTTGTTTATACTCATGATCACTGTTAGGATTAGAAAAAAAACATGCTCTGTATCTGCAAAGCACTGTACTGTAGTTTTAGAACCAGCTGTATTTCTAGCTTCAGTTGGAACTCTAAGATTATACTGACCAAAGCATTATTACATCATGTACCTGTCAGAACACACCCCACAGTACAACAAAGGTTTTAGCAACAACACCATCATCCAGTACTCTCTTTATTAACCATGACACAATCCTGAAGACATCATTAAAGCCATTCATAATCAATTACTACCTTCATAACTTAATCATAATTTTAGGTTTCATAGATGTCTTTTTCCATCTGTAGCAGAAATGTTGCTAGGCTTTATGCAATTGTTATCCTTTTTAAAATAAATTCAATAGCATAACCAATAATTATATAGTTGTATGCAATACACAAGAGATAACCTACTGGAAAGCTTGTGGATTAATATATATATAGGTAAAACCTGAAAAAGTACAGTAAAAATACAGAACATCAGCTTTTATTTCTGGATATTCTAGTGCAAACATGTTAAACCATGTTAGAATGTTTTTGTATTCAATCTCCCCCAGTTTTGGTTCAGAATAAGTGTGGGCACAAACTAAAACAAAGTAAATTAACCTTGTGTAACATTAGTATTTGGTTGCATGCAATGACTGCTTCACGTCTGTGACCCATCGACATCACAAAACTCTTGATATTTTCCATTAAGATGCTTTGCCAGACCTTAACTGCTGCCACTCGCATTAGGTTCCTGTTCAACAAGTAAAATGCATACTTAATAGGTTTCAAATCAGGAATTTTGACCTGTTCAGTTCTGGTTTCCACTTCATTCTGGTGAACTCCCTGGTTCAGTGTACTGTATGCCTTTCCTTGCTGCAGGGTGAACTGCTGTCCAGCAAGTTTGGGGGCATTTTTCTGCCCAAGCCATGACACTACCTCCACCAAGCTTCACAGATGAGGAAGTGAGTTGTCCTCTCTTTCTCTGCTCTTTCGCCTTTACATCACTTTGATAAAGATTAATCTTCATCTAATAAAACTTTGTTTTAATTGTAATTTTCTTTACTCTCCTCTTCACAATTCCTTGCTTTTCCATCAGAGAAGCAGACCCAAATAGTCAACTCCAAAGACTGGGCCCAAGGCTATACATTCACAGCACTTATAGGTTTTCACAACTAATGAACATGGAACACCCAAATAACTGGAAACACCTATCAGCCATTTGTCCCAATACTTACGCTCACCTGAAGTGGGGTACTGACCACAACAATTCGCATTGTTCTAATGTAGCAGAAACGTGCATGCAAAATAACAGCAAGAAAAAAAAGCTGGGGTTCTATGCTTCTGCCTCATATTAATCTTTTGATCTGAAATACAAATTTCATTAATGCACAGCATAATTTACAAGTCACTTCA